AATTTATCGATCGAATTTCATCAACAACAACAAGAAAAGAATAAACATTTAATTAAGAGTGTGTGGATCATCGCGTCACGTCTCTTCTCACCGCGACAATGAGAAAAAATTACTTTACATGATGTATCTATTCGAGAGTTATCTAATAGCTTGCGAAAGAGTGTATGGAAGGAGTGGGGAGACGAAGGAGAGATGAGGAAATAAGCGATATACGACTACCGCGCGAGCATCGATACTTCCCCCCCACCCTTCCTCGCTTCTGCGGTTATGTAGTACATCCATTAAAGCCATATGCACGTGCGAAGGTACCGATGGCGAGGGCAACGTTTGTACGTATTACCTGACGTTAATACGTTCCATTCGCATCTGCATAAGGCAACACGAGTAAGAAAGGCAACACGAGCGAGAGGACGAGGGCAGGAGGAGGAGGAGGAGGAGAAGGAGGAGAGAAGAAATTGACCGACAGGAGAAGAGAAAGGAGGGAAACCGTTCAAACCGGTACTAATTATTTCGCGTTTTTTACACGCTCGTTAAGAATTTCTTATATTAACTGCACACACGAGGCGCGACGAGGGGGAGGGAGATTTGGTTGGCCATCGATCGGTTTTCTTGCCGCGAATCGGAAGCCAACCTCTCCTTTCCTTCTCCTCCTCCTCCTCCTCCCTTCTCCTCCCGACTTTTTATCAGGAACTCGTTAAAACCCGTGCAACACTTCGTCGGGCTATTAATCTTTCGTAATTGATAACGATCTACGACCCATCGAAGAACCGGTGGATACATTTCTGCATGCGATCTGTTTGTTCGAAGTTCATCAATCAGAATCGTGAAAAAAAAAAAAAAAAAAAGAATCGAAATCCTTATTCCTATCGTATCGACCAGCTTTTGGATTTCGAAGCTGAATCGGTGTACAGGCCGGTGGATGGATGGTTTCGCACGGATATTATGGTTCTTTCATTAGCACTTGGGGAAGGGGGACGATGGCTTGTCGACGATCGTACTCGAGCCGCTCGTTTTTCCACTTGAGTAAGGGGATTGATAACGAGAACGCTCTTGATATGTTGAATTGAAAGAGTAATGTAAGCGATATAACGGCTAGATAAGTGAACACTGTATAGGAAATTATTGCACCGATCAGAGAATTTATTAAATAAATACCAACGGGGAGGAGAAAGAGCCGATTTACTTTTTTATTTATCTAATCGCATGTAAAGTTGCAGTATCTATCATTGCTTATCTTCGTTAATTCTTATTGCGTATACAAAGTATTGCATAATTGACGATTAAATTCAAATCCATCTACGTGTATATATATACATATATGTATGTGTGTTTGTATATTTATACAAACGTCCGTAATAAAATTCCTTATAAAGATAAGGACCAATATCGTAAAACGCGATATCACTAGTAACACGTACGATTGGTTAATATCAACGCTTTCTAAAATGATTCATCTCCCACTCTCATTACCTATAATTTTTCGCGCCCGATAAATCTCATATCTTCGAGTAAAACGTAACGGACATTGATAAATCAAGCTATATACGACTCTAATCCAAATGCACGTCCATTATAATAACCAACCGCGAGAAGAACCTTTAACCACCGAGAGCCGAGAGCTCATTACGTCCGATTTCACCGAGCCCCCTACCTCCTTATCGTCTCCTCGTATCCTTTGAACACAACGTTATCGATGAATCGTTCGACCATCGATACGATCGATATCCCATCCGATAATCGTTAGTAGCGTCTCGGACAGTTGGACCGCGATATCGTGAGAAACGCGTCCAACAGCCACGAGGGACGGGAGAAGGAGGGAGAGAGGCGAGGGGAGGGGAAGAGGCTGTTCAATGGCTCGTTTTCGCTCGCGTGCTCTCGCTTTACTCCTTCCCCGTGGCGCGGCGGTAATTAAGGGAAGAGAAAGAAGGTTATTAACGAGATCGGCCGATAAGAGTGGACGGTTCGATCGAATTAACGATGTTACACCGACGTGCCGTGAACGTGCACGCGAGAGATCAAGCGGCCACGGGATAGGAACGAGTGAGAGGAGGAGAGGCGAGTGCGACGAGGGCATAGAAGGCGAGGGCTTAGAACGCGATAAACGGAGAAAGAAAGAGAGAAAGACGCGTGTGGACGTACGCGTGTGTATGTGTGTGCGTTGTGCACGGACGAGACCACCTACGTGTTAAACTTTCCTCCGTGCAAAAGTCGACACGAATCGGTTTACACGCACGGTATCGCGGCCGGTATTAATGCTTGCGTATGCTCGCGGCTCGGTGGTGCAGCAGGCTCGTTATCTGGCGCATAACGCCGCCGGTTCGCATGCAAATCGCAATGTGTGCAGCGAGAGAATTGCGCCCAGGATACGAGGCGGTGGCACTCATCGCACAGGAAAATATAGTAATCCACCGTGCCACCTGATAAATTGCGCCACGAAGGCAACGCTGTAATCGCCGGAGGGTGACCGGTGGACGTGGATAGGGGTGAGCGTGGGGGGCGGATGCATGGGGAGGGGGCAGGAAGGAGGAAATAATTAATGCCGCCACTTAAGTTACGGGCAAATTCGAGCGGAAAAGTCGGAGTCCGGAAAAAAAGAAAGAAAGAAAAGAAAAAAAAAAAGGAAAAAGAAAAGGGAGGACGCGAAATTAATAGGTCTGGAACGGCAACACGCGTAAACACCGCGTGTCCGCGCGGAAAGATGCGGGATGAGATACGAATTAACGCGTCGCCTCCCTCCGCCTGAACGAGCGTCTTGAAAGCTCTGTCCCGGATCCTGGAAAAACGATGCAATCAACCGGTGTTTGTTCCGTTTCGTTCTCCTTCTTTTCCTCATGTTTTGCCAAGAAATGGAGTGGAAGATGATGGAGCGGCGGCGCTATGTGCTTATGTACGTTGTGTGGTTTATCATCGAGTGTTTCCGTCTTTTCTTTTTTTTTTTTTTTTTAAAGCGCCCCCCGGATGAATTTTTTTAATTTTGACGCGTCTTTTTTTTTTTTTTTTTAAAGCGCCCCCCGGATGAATTTTTTTAATTTTGACGCGTCTTTTTTTTTTTTTTTTTTTTTTTTGAAAGCGTCTCGCGAATGAATTATGTTAATTGTGACGCGTCATTCTTTTCTTTTCAATTAGTTGTTCGAAAGTTTTTGAGTTGGCGAATTTGTTCGTTTTCTTTGATTCGTTCCTCGAAAACATTGGTATGGATATCAAACTCTTGAGCCCTTGTTTAAGATTTGTTTAAGATTATAAAAATTAAATAATAATAACTATTCGAATAACTATTTGCGTTTTATTATAATCTGAAAGTGACGATATAATTGAAAATGGTTGCTTTTTGTGGAAAAATGTATTTGAATGTGTATGCAAATAAACTTGCTGTTTCAAAGACTCGTTAACTGCATATATTTACGGATATTTATAAAGAAATGGGGAAACGTGTATTTCATTGACTGAAACATAAAAATCAACAAATCATGTTTCGCTCAATTACACTCACGATTCATATTTTGAATTATTAATTTATATGTTTTCAATCGCTGCAAACTATGTCAAGCCCATGAACCAACATTTATTCAATTATTATTCGAATGAAATTAGGAATTTTTAATAAATTAATAAAGCTCATAAGTACTTAACAATTAATAATTATATTTATTATTGAATTTGTATAAACACGTGCATCTAATTTTTCCGTTAAAATGATATTTATAGAATTGTTGAAAAACAATAATTACCGATTTAAAATAAAAAAAAAAGATATTTTTTTATAGATATATCAAAATCGTTTTTCCCCAATTTATATACGTGCACACATTTTATATAATTGTGATAAATTCTTTTACTAACAAACCGTTTATATAAATTTCAACTCCATTAATTTTCGCTAATTTTCATTTCACCAAATTCTCGCGTAAATTCAAAACACGATACCGAATAGAAATAAATATTGGCCCTCCCACGATTACACGAGAACTCTTTAATGGAAGAATTGATAAAATTTCAGATCAACGAAAAATAGTACAATTCCCCAACGAGATCTTGGGTATCTCGATTAAGACGGGTAGAGGGTTGATAAAGACAAATCGGCTCGTCAGCCGCGTTTCTCCGTTAAACCTCGTTACAAGCGCATTCTCTCGCATACGTCATTTCTGCAATCGGATGCGCGACGCACAGACACTCCCGTAATGAATTCCTCTGGTGGCGGGACGTTAAGAAACGGTCGGAAAAACGGTCGCGAATGCTGGAATGCTGAACGCGAAAGGGGATGATGGTACGAGAGGAGAGGAGAGGAGAGGAGAGAAGGACGGACG